TGTGACAATACTCCCACAGGGGGGGGGGGGGGGTGGGGGGTTGGGTTGTTGTACAGAGAGCCCTTAAACTGAAGGAATAAAAACCACACAAAGTAGGTCATAGATCAGTTCGTTTAGCAGCTAGCACTCGGACCAGGCACATGTTCGGCATGCACCTCAAGCCCTGTTGAGCCTTCCAGCTGTCGCCCGCGCGCTCCAGCACGGTGCCCCAGACCCTCTGATTGCAGCCTCGGCGACATGGCAGGCGACAAGATACGTCTGGTGCCAAACAAGCTGCGTCCGGTGGGAGCAAAATCTGGAGCTTCCCACCCCCATCCCCCCCATCCCCAGCCCCGCCATGGGCCCAGACAAGTGTGGAGCTCCACACGGGCACCTGTGCAAGGGCAGCCAGGCACATGGCTTTGGCGCAGCTGTTCACTGCACGCTTTTCAAAACTCTTACTGGGCTCCACCACCGCAGACTGGCAAGAAGGTTGCAACCATTGTAACCAGTCAGAACTATCTTTACATGACTATATACCTGCAACCCTACTTAGAATTTTCCCCATGGACCTTCAAGCACTCTCCCTGCCTGGACCAGCACTGTCTCGCCGGAGGCCACCGGAGAAGACGGTTAGCTTGGTCGAGGAGTCCTTTGCTTCGGCGTGTCTGCTCCCCCCCCCATAGACTCGCCGAACCTCAACCGTAAACCTTCGGTTGAGCGCCCCCTAAATTAACAAAGATAGGGTTTGTGTATTGCGACAGGGACCAGACAGCTCACACACATTTTCAGAGAATTGACCTTGAAGCATGACCATAAAGCAAGCATGCCCCCTATACCCTAAACTCTTTTTGCATCTGGCTTCTTCATGCTCTAAACCCTCTACCCCAACATCCCCCCCGCCCCCCCCGCCCCCGCTGCCCCCTAAACCCTAAACCCTAAACCCTAAACCCTAACCCCCCTACACTCCCTGCCAAGGGTCGAAGGTGCAGCTCTTATTGTAGAAGTGCACCACCAAAGCCGCCGCTCCCGGGATGGTCACTTCTTTGGTCCACCGGAAGCCCTGGGGGTTTAGGGTTTAGGGTTTAGGGTTTAGGGTTTAGGCGGTTTAGGGTTTAGGGTTTAGGGTTTAGGGTTTAGGGTTTAGGGTTTAGGGTTTAGGGTTTAGGGTTCGGGGTTCAGGGGTTCAGGGGTTCAGGGGTTCAGGGGTTTACGGTTTGGGGGTGTAGGGTTTAGGGTTTTACGGTTTGGGAGTTTAGGGTTTAGGGTTTTCGGGTTTGGGGTTTAGGGTTGTTTTAGGGGTTTAGGGTTTCGGGGTTAGGGTTTGGGCGTTTAGGGTTAGGGGTTTAGGGTTTAGGGTTCAGGGTTTAGAATTTAGGTTTTAGGGGTTTAGGGGTTTAGGGTGTAGAGGTTTAGGGGTTTAGGGGTTTAGGGGTTTAGGGGTTTAGGGGTTTAGGGGTTTAGGTTTAGGGGTTTAATCGCTCACCCTCGGACACCCCAGGCGAGGCACACTCTGTCCCAGTGTCTTACTGTAGAGCCTGTTAGGGTTTTAGGGTTTAGGCTTAGGGGTTAGGGTTTGAGGCATAGGGTTTAGGGTTTGGGGATTAAGGGTTTAGGGGTTTAAGGGTTTAGGGGGTTAGGGGTGTAAGGGGTTGGGTCTAAACCCTCCAGACTTTCCAAAGCATGGGCTGGGGGCAGTGCCCCGGAAAACGGCCCTGAAGCCCTCAACCCCCATTTCTGACCAGCGGGCCTTGGCTTCATAGGGGTGCTCGGATTCAACCACCTGGGATCCTGGTGCTGGTACTCATTGGCAGGTCTAGGGCCAGGGTTTCTGCAAGCACTCTCTGCAACAGCAGGCTCCACGAAACCTTAGGGTTTAGTGCTGTTTTGGCTTTAGGGCCTAGGGTTCAGGGGCAACAGACACAAGAGGTGGCTGTAGCCATAGCGCTTGCTTAAGCTCAAATACAGACTCCTGAAGTTCTGGACCTGACAAGGCGGAACAGAACTTCAACGCTCCTGCGATTCCGTACTCTTCCATGAGGCTGTCCTCAACAGCAAGCAAAGCTTCAACAAACGTCCATGCACGCATGGCTCTCTGCGCGGTGCTTGTGTCTCGGGCCTCTACGAAACGGAGGCTGACCAGGGACGAAGCTTTGGGACAGCAGCTGGGATAGCTGCCGGCTTTACTCTACTCCCCTTAGAACCTTAATAAATAGATTAAGCCCCTGCTGTAGCAGACATCGCTCGTTTCTGCACGGTATGGCAGCACGACTAGATCCATTGTCAACTCATTGTCCACACAGCAGGCCACGAAACCTGCCCTAAAGAGGAAGATTGTCGGCGCCTGTACTTTTCACAGCTGCCGAAGACAGTACGGGTGCACAAAGTCCAGCACTCATTAATGCCCATAAGACCCCACCTTTACCCCAAGTATCCCTAAACCGTATTTTGTAGACCCCGAAACCCTATATCCCCAAACCCGACTGCCAAGGTCGCCAGGAGGCCAAATACCCATTCAGAAACAATCGTAGTTGCATGGTCCCTTCATATGGGCCCTTAAACGGGGACCCCCTTAGATGCCCTGTGCAACCCAAGAGCCCATGCGCCAGAACCCTTTAAAGAAGGTAAAGGGACAATACTCAGGGCCCACTGCTTGCTTAAGAACCCCCCCAAAAAAAAAGACAGGGAAATACAGAAATCTTCCTTTTCAGGGCAATTTGGGGATTGTCTTTTTTCATTTTTTGGTGTTCTTAAGCAAATGGTGCACAGGGATCCTCATCAGGAAATCCAGTGTGCTCCTGGTTTCAGGGTTTCTTGGGCTTTTTTTCTGGGGCAGGGGGGACTCCAAGCCCTGTTTAGGGTTTAGGGTTTAGGGTTTAGGGTTTAGGGTTTAGGGTTTAGGGCCAAAACCCTCAGCCTTTCCCAAAGAAGGCCTGGAGCTCGGCCACGCCAGCCTTCCAGGCTGCTGCGGCCTTGCTGTCGGAGATTCGGCAGCTTAGAGCTGAAGGGTGCAGGGGGTCCTGTCTGTTTAGGGTTTAGGGTTTAGGGTTTCGGGTTTAGGGTTTGGGGTTTGGGGTTTGGGGTTTGGGGTTTGGGGTTGAATCGGACCGAAGTCTGTTACGTCGAAGGTGATACAGGAGTGGTTTGTACACTCTCAAGAATGCCACTTGCGCAGGAATGCGCTTCAGGTGATACTGTTAGTTTTGGCAGGTAAGTGCGGGTCAAACCGCATCGTCATTTCTGGCCAATCTGGAAATTATGTTATCAAGCATTGTGAGAGCAGCAGTGATTTGATCCAGCCAATGCTGGGCCAGCTGCGAATCAAGCAAGTTTCTGTCAGGGCAACGTCTAAGAAAACGTTCGGACTTAGAAGAGAAATCAAATTTGAGAGCACAAAAGTAGCAGCGATGACGCCGGAGCCACAAAGGGCTACAAATGTGCGGGGGTTTGGGGTTTGGGGTTAGGGTTTCGGGTTTAGGGTTTAGAGTGTAGGGTTGTTTAGGGTTTAGGGCCAGAGTTTTGGGGGTGGACCCTCAACAGGGCCACCAGATTCGCTGAACCAATCCAGCCTTAAAACCTGTACTGTTCCCAGAAAGCCCAACACCTCTTGCACTAAGGAGCGTATCAGAATCAGGATATGGATCCCTCTATAGCTAAAGGCTTCTTCCTCATTCAAAAGGGTTCGTTTGTCATGTTTTTGCTTTGGGTTTCCGGGAAAGGCTGAGGCCCTGCACCCTAAGCCCTGAGCCCTAAACATAAACCCTAAACCCTAAGCCCTAAACCCAAAACCCAACCACAACTCCTCCTGAGCTCTACACGTCGCAGGGCGGATTCTCTAAGCTCGCCCACTCATCGTCGAAACGAAGTGCTGAACAGGCAGAGGTTTAGGGCTCTCGGGTCAGGGTTCCCAGGCTCTCGGTTCAGGGTAGAAAGGGTTCTGGGCAAGGCATTTTTCCTTATGGCCATGCTGGTATCGGAAGAGCCATATGGGAGTTGATCAAAATACCACCCACAATTACCTTCTATCTTCCTTCCAAACCACTAGGAGCCTTAAACAAAATCCCAGGAAGCACCAGTTCTACCACCATCCGCTGTGATAGTGCGTCTCGAGACTGCCAATTGCTTCAGAACACCCAAAAACAAAATATTCTTCCTTATAAGGGAAATATAGAGATTATCATGTTTTTTACTTGTTGAGCTTCTCAAGCAAATAGTAGGAGACGGTTGTCCCTCCTCCAGAGCTGGGCGACCCGCATCGCAGGGATGAAAAGTTCAGGGCTTCGACTCGCGCACTCGCAGCGGCCCCGGTCGCACTGACACTCTGTGGTTTAGGTTTAGGGTTACGGCTTAGGGCTTATGTAGGGTTTATGCAGGGCTTAGGGTCGCAAAAGAGCTGGGGATCATCAGCAGAGTAGGCCGCTGGCAACCCACGGGCCAGAATAACAGCGGTAGGATCACTGTTAGTATCGACAAGGAGACGAAGAGCCAGAAGACAATCTCAAAGTAGCAGGGAACCAACATACAAGTACCAACTAAAGCAGTAAACTACAACGTACAACATAAGAGTCACGAAGATTCGCAGCAGCTCCCGGCCGGCCTCCCTTCCTTCGGAAGGCACACGGCTCGGCGTCCTGCCAGTGATGGTTGTTGCACCAGGGCCGGTTGGTAGGGAATGCGGCATTCGGTACCATATACAACCCTCAAAGGGAATCCCTAATTCTCCAAGTAGGACAACGGCTGGTTCCTTGGGAAGGCAGGCAGAGAGCATTGTCCAAAAAAGCAAGGCCCACACCCTCAATTCTTGAATGCCGAGGTGAGGCCCCAGAGCTGTGCAGCTTGGCAACGTGAGGGTTGGCAACGGGATTGTGGCGAGGCTGTGTGGGGCATCTGACATTCAAATCGCTGTGTGTGGCAATCGAATATTCGGATTTTGGGGGTGGCTCAGAGCACGCCATTCTTTCACAGCCTGCATGTCCAGGTCAACATGAAAGCTGCACGTTTTAGCGCACTCAGACATGGCATCAAATGAACTTCGCCCATAGCAAGGAATCGTTCGTTCCATCCGCGGGCCGCTCGGCTTCATCACTCCGTTTTGTGTAGCCCCACTCAAGCATGAGTTCCTTGTAGATTAAGTATGTCATCACCAAGAAAATGTTGCCGGCCAAGCCCATCGTCGCCAGAATCATGAAGTATTCCAAGTCAATTCGCCGGCCCCAGTAGGTATCATAAGCTGTAAGGCCGCTAACCATCACTGACATGAACGCTGCTGTGATGAGAAGTGCACACTCTGTCAGATTCCACCGTAGGGCTTTGTATGGAAGCAGCGCGGCATAGAGAACCAAGGATACCATGACAATGGAGCTGATGCACACAAGCTGAAGGGCTGGGGATGAGGTGATAGGCAGCACTGACACAGCCATGGTGAGCATGGTCTTCCGCAAGAGCCGTTCCGACTCCCAGAGGCTCATGCTTTGTCTGTACGGGTTGGTCACATAAAGCACATGGAGAGGTGGCTTCTTGTCTCCAGACATGGACAGCCAGAGCCATGAGTCAGCTGCAGCCAGAGCCAGCACCACCACGAAGATTCTTAACATTATGCGACCTGAATAGTTTGGCAAGAATGGGCACTCATAGGCGTCGCTCTTGACATCCGCCCGCGCGTACTGGAAGCAGTACAGGTGCTTCCCGAAGAAGCTGAAGAATTCAGGCCAGAAGCAGTTCATGCCAACTAGCAGCGCTACACCCCGCTTCTTGGAGGGAAGACACGCCGCAAGCCCGGCAACCAGCAGGACAGGCAGCAGCCCGTGGAGGAGGTGGGCCTGTCACGATCTCTACTCCCTAACCTCATTTTTGAAAAAGTTGTTTATTATTTCCTGGGGTTATATATCAATGCAAATGCAGACTGATTCCTAAGGGGGCTATAGGCAATCGCAGCTCAGATTGGATCCGTGATGGTCCATCAACGTGTGTGTGTGTGTGTGTGTGTGTGTGTGTGTGTGTGGGTGGGGTGGGTCGGTGCGTGCGTGCGTGCGTGTGCGTTCGTGTCTGCGTGTCTGCGTGTCTGCGTGTCTGTGTGTCTGTGTGTCTGTGTGTCTGTGTGTCTGTGTTTCTGTGTGTGTCTGTGTGTCTGTGTGCCTCTGTGCCTCTGTGCCTGTGTGTCTGTGTGTCTTTGCGTCTGCGCAGACATGTCTGTGTACAGGGAGAACACAACAACTCAACAATTCTTTCGCGCATCCTCGGCAGCTTATGCTTGTAAGCACTGTCACTTGGGCATTTTCGTAAACTTGCGCACGTGAGAGCATGTCTGCTGGACGTGCTTGCCCCATGTGCTTGCTCAAATCCGTGGAGGCTGCAGGCCAGGCCAGATCTCAAATCAATCACCTCTACTAGGTGTCTGAGATGTCGTAGAGAAAAAGAATTTCAAGCGTGCAAAAGTCACTGACGTTCTGCTGTGGCTTTGTGCTCCTTTGCCCCGGCCTGCCAAAGAAAGCCAGTGAAGCCCAAGTACTGCAGCAAGCAACCAGAAGACGTGCTGAGCACGGAGCTCTCGGTCACACCTTGGCCCGACGATGCATCGGCAAAGAACTCCACTGCCCTAAAGACGGCAAGAAAGATGTGGCCAGCACTCGCGCGGATCTGCCTCAAAGCTTCTGTTTGAGCCATGACCACCAGCAGCATGCCTGCCACAGTGGCAAAGGACATCAACTGGTTGATGAGGACGCTGCTGGGCTTCCGTTCTGCGTCGCCCGTTAGTGCACTGGCTGCGGCCATGCCGAACAGCCCCACACGCTTTAAGAGCACATAGCACCACTGGGCACACTTGTTCCACCACAGAGTGGCACACTGAGTGCACATCAGCACGCTGTTGTCAGAAACACCAAAGCCAGATTCGCAGCTGGTGCATGCTTTTCCTGTGTAGCCGGTCGCACACATTGTGCTGAAAGCTTTCGAAATTCCGCCTGGACATGCAGCTGGGTTCGGGCAAAACACTGTGAAGCTTACATTCTCACGTTCGACCGCATAGCCAGGCTTCATCTTGAACTGTGTGGCATAGCAGAAATCGTTCTCCTCTGGGCAAGACCAGCAAGCCTGTGTTGTGCTGGGATGGATCTGGGTGAACTTGTCGTGACAGGCACTGCAGGCCTTCTCACTTTCCGTGTCATTGACACCAGTGCCGACCGGGCAAAGCAGCTCGGCAATGCTGCGATTGGACTTTGGTGCCAACAAATGGCAGGCCGTCATGTTGAGGCAGCTGACGTTCATTAATTTCAAGTCCATGGCTCTGATGCTGGTACTTTCCTGGCTCTGCATCGAGACATGTGGTACTTCAAGCTGGCCATCCACATCGATGCAAGCGCTGTTCCCACCACACCCAAGGAGCTTCAAGTCAGCAATTGTCATGGAGCCGTTTGCATAGAGCGACCCCGCCAAACTCCCTGCGCTGCACTTGTCAAAGCTGACTTGTTGCAAAAAGCTACGGTGGCTGGAACGGAAATAGAGGCCACCGCCCTTCCCACCAGCTGCGCACTGGAGGAAACTCATGGACCCGCTCTGTTGCACTTCCCCCAGAATCGCAAGACCCCCTCCGTTTCCCTTGACCATACCAGCTGTACATCTTTCAAAATGTATATAGCCATTACTCCTCAGCCTCCGGGCTGTCATGCCTCCTCCATGATGCCGAAAGACTGAGCAATCCAGAAACTCTAGCCTGCTAGTCCCATACTGCGTCAGTGGTCCGAACACGTAAGCTCCCCCTCCGCTTTGGTGGGCACTGCAGTTTCTCAACGACATGTTGCCATGCATCCTGATGCTGCCTCTCGCTACATGCACGCAGCCACCAGAGCCCAAGGTTCGACACGCCGACAAATCAATGCTGCCGTGCATTTGCAAGCCTCTCTCAATGTAAAACCCGCCGCCCCCTTTGTGGAGGCTGTACGCAGAGCACATGCTCACGCTTGTGGAGCCATGGAGAACGGCATGACCCTTCACTGACAGACCGCCGCCAACGTCGGCATTGCAGCCCATGAACCCAAGGCTTCCATCGACACTCTGATGAAGGGAGCCATTCTGTAGTCGGAGTCCGCCTCCTGACCCATAAACCGCTGAGCAATCAACAAAGCGGATCGACCCACCAATCTGCTTGAGGTCGCCGTTTCTCACTAGAATGCCCCCTCCACCCTCATAACTTTCGGCGACGCAGTCCTGGAAGAACATGTCACTGTGCTGGAGTAGGACTCCCTCACCCACGAACAAACATCCGCCCGAGCCCGAACCAGTGGCGACGCATGTCCGGAAGGTGAGTTGCGCGTAGACCTCCACGCTTTCTACAAATGCACCTCCACCGTCGGAGGAAGACCTGCAGTTGCTAAAGCTCATGTTACCAGACTTGAGCATCAGGCCACCAGCGACCTGCATACCACCGCCTCTCCCCACAAGGGCCTTACAGCTGTTAAACTCGGTAAGTCCGTCATGTTGCGTGAGGTTACCACCCCTGACCAGCAAACATCCTCCTGACCCTTTGGCTGACGAGTTGGCGAAGGAGTTCGTACCGTTGAGATCCATAGAGCCGTAGCTGAGCATCGCTCCTCCACTCTCATGAGACTGACAGTGGGTCAAGCGCAAAGAGCCGGCCGACTGGTGGAACCTGTCCGTCACCAGGCAACCTCCACGACCTGTGGAACGACACTCGGAGAACTCTAACGCACCCTCCATCTGATGCAAATTGCCATTCACCTGCATGGCACCTCCTTCCTCCCCAGCTTCGCAATGTCTGAACGAAGTGACGCCACCGTGCTGGGTCAGGCCATCATCAGCCACCAGACATCCTCCAGACCCTTTGGTGTTGCAGTTGGTAAAAGAGTTGGTGCCATTGAAGGTGACTGAACCTTCGCACATCATTGCTCCTCCTCCTTGGTCGCCTTCTCCCCATCCTCGCCCGGGCCCGCAATTTGCGAAGTGCAGCTGGCCACCCTCCTGCACAAATCCAGATGTGTACAATCCGCCTCCCATCATGGCTTCACATCCTGCAAATGTCAGGTTCCCACTGAGTTGAGTGAGAAAGCCTTCAATCATTGCTCCACCACCAAAGCTGGAAGGACCGCCCTTTGTAGTGCAACGGATCAAGGACACACGTCCTTGAAGTTGAACATCCCCGATAACATACAGCCCCCCTCCACCATATACCATTTTGTGTGCACTGCTGCATCCGCTGAACTCCATGGCGCCCATGCTCATCTGATAAAGTTGGCCCGTCAAGAACAAACCGCCACCACTGCCAGCACGAGCTACGCAATCGGTGAACTTGATGACCCCTCGTTGTTGGACAACATAACCTGCAACCGCAGCTCCACCACCGGAGGCCGCTGTGCCGCACTTTTGGAACTCCGCTATGCCTCCACGTTGGGTGAGGTTTCCTGCCTTGATGTTCATGCAGCCGCCCTCTCCTCCCTGGAGAACTGCTTCACACTTGTCGAATCGGTTGATCCCTCCAAGCTGGACATCACGACTGCTGAAGACGGCGCCGCCTGCAGAGGCCTGGCAGTTGCTGAAGCGCGCGGAGCCGTCGAGCTGGGTCCAGGTTCCAACATACAGCGCACCGCCTGCCCTGCCGGCGGTGCAGTTGTCGAAGTCCAGGGCCCCTAGCGGCCCTAGCTGTGAGAGGGCGCCGGCGACATGAACTCCACCGCCTGAGGCTCCTGCGCGGCAGTTCCTCACGGCGACCGAGCCTCGGACCTCCAAGTTACCTCCCACAACCACACCGCCGCCATCGGCCTGGCTGCTGCAGTTTTCCACATGCAGCGTGGCCCGGGAAGACTCCACCAGGTCCTCTTCCACAAGCAGCGCCCCAGCCATCTCCTCACTATGGCAGCCGCTGAAGGCAATCCGCTCCTCCAAAGCACCCGTGCCGACCGTTAACCCACGCCTGGCAATCACACATGGCTGGCCAAGTCGTGCCCCGATCCAGGCGATGTTGCCCTCCTAGGATGGCCCTTAAAACCCTCTGAAAAAATTTCCTAAATATCATCCTCTCAAACCCAAAAGGAGAAAACATAAAAATGTACCCGGGGCCTACCTAGCCTCCAGGACAGTCTCGGCTGCAAAGGTCAGCGGCGCCTGAAGGACCACCGTGGCCCGGCCCAGCAGGTGGCAAGGGGCCAGGATGGTGGTGGCCTCGTTTAAGGTGTAATTGCCTCGCAACTCCAAGGTTCCAGAGCAGGACGTCGGGAATGGCTGGAACAGCTGCTCCTCGTCCTCGATGTGCTGGTAGATGCGCTCGGCAGCACTGAGGACCACCACGAGCCAAGCAGTCCAGCCCAATCTGCAGGGCCACTTCAAGCCTCTTGCATGGAAAAAGATTTCAGATATAGGCATGTGCAAATGTAGTTCATCAAACGTAGTCCAGCGCCCTCGGGGCGCTGAGAAACTGCTAACTCAACTTGTGCCGGGTCGGCTGTGGCAAGGTTTTGATCGTGCGACGGCAAGCACAACAAAATCTCTTGCCAAGGTCGTTTTCGCAAGCAGCTTGTGCGATGCAGGAACACCATGCTCCGCTTCGCTTAGCTCTCCTTGCGCAAGCCGTTTGCCGACCGCCCCTCTGCGGTACTGATCATGACACACCCCCACCCCCTAGTTGAACCCAAGACAAGTACTCAGCCCCTGAAGGGCCCATGTTGAGACGTCCTGCGGCTTGGCCGGGTCCTGGCCAGAGGGCAGAAGCAGCCAATCCTATCCTACTTAGCCCATTTGCAGCCACCCGCAGCAATCTCCAAAAGGGTTGGTGTACGACTTAAGGAGGGCTTGGGAAGAGTCTTCGTATTGTCTGCCTTTTAATCTGAACTCACTCCATTCCAAGGAAACGGCACTGGAGATTTAAGCAGGCTCACGTGACTCTAAGATCGTTTGTATAGATTCCTAGGAATAAGCTCAGTCATCGTGGTCGCGGCAGCAGAACGGGAATTCTTTCGGTGCTCGGCTAGAGCAGCTAGAGGGGCCTGCGATTCTTCATCATATTCCTAAACCCTAAACCCTAAACCCTAAACCCTAGGTTGTCTCAGCTAATGCTGTAAGGTAGTGGAGGCCTTGCTTCATCAGGCTCGCCTTTGACCCTGCATATCTCCTCGACCTGGCGCAATGGTCGGATACCCCAATCTATACTCCTCTTTAGAACCTTAATAAAGATAATATTTTAATATCCTCTTGAGTTTTGTTATACAAAATACAAAAATAATTCCCAAGGGCGATGTAGCAATACCCCCGGAACTCAATCATAAACCCATTCCTCCAGTACCCAGGGAAACTAAAGGTTAACCTTTGGGATTATAAGGGGGATTATATTACTTTAAAAAGGTTCAAGGTTACCTACCCTACTACTAAGTTTTGGCCCGAAACCCTGGAACATGAGACGACGGCCTTGGCCTCAAACTTCTGCCACATGGCATCGATGACCTGCAGTCCAGGTCTCAGCAGGCGCAAAGGCTACCCCTGAGGAATGGGAGGTCGAGGCAGATGTGCCAGTGCTCGCGAGCCGCGGGCCCTAAGTTCAAAGCACGAAGGCCACCACGGGCGGCATCACCTAACCCAAGCTTGTCAAGTAGAACCCATGGAAACCCAAAACAGCTTCTTATTAAATACGAAAAGGTGCCCCCTTGCCTCAGCCTTCACGCCCATTTTCTGGAGGCCGCTGGTGAAGAACTTCTTAGGCAAAACGCCTCGCTCCTGACCGCACTTGATGCATGGCTTGCAATCCCTGAGGCACTGGGGCTGGTTCAAGCCTAAACTCAAACCGTCAACCCTGGCCTCCAGCAGCCCAAAGGGGGGAGGGGGGGGGGTGGGGGGTTTAGCGTTTAGGGTTGAGGGAATCTTTGGTTTAAAGGTGATTATGCTAAACCCTGAACCCTGGAAAAACAAAGGAAGGGCCTAGTCTGGGTCCTAGCCCGTGAGGCCCTACCAACCCTCTAAAGGGTAGTTCTCTACATGAGGTGCCTGCCGTACCAGATAGGGTTTCCCAAAAAAGGGGACCTTACGTTGGAGAACTTGCACCAGGCATTTCAGCCCTGAAAACCCTCTTCTGAACCCCGTCAACCCTCTTCTGAACCCCAAAAAACCAAGGCCCCAGCTCCTAAGCTGTAAACCCTCTGCCCTGAACCCTGAACCCTAAAATCCTGACTTGGGGGGGCCCACTTCCGACATCTACAGCTTGCGCCGCTTGGGGTTTAGGGCTTACTTGGGAGCTTCAGGCGTGCGTAGTACCCAGTTAGCACCCACTTATGAGCCCCTCAAGTACCCCAATAGGTTTCTAATTGGGTTATAAGTACAGATATAGTTGGGTAATACCTCCAGGTAGGCTCGCCTGCCTCGCCTAAGCGCTTTGGGGCTCAAGATCTTTTGTACATGGGAACCGCATGGCGGGTTCCCCAATTTTGAAGGACCCCTGTATTTAGAGAAAAAACTGGGAGCCCTCCACCCGAACCACTTTGCAACTGGACCCAACCCGAAGCCTAAACCCATGTGCATCCGGGTACCGGGGCAAAGCTCCGCTCAATTGCAACATACTGAAACTAGAGGCAGAACTGCCGGGGGCCAAGCACAACCCTTAGCCCGAAACCCGCAAAACCCTAAACCCTAAACCCTAGCCCTAAACCCTAAACCCCACCCGAAACCCGAAACTCGAAATCCCGAAACTTCCCAAACTGGCTTTACGATATTAAGGGTACCTCATTGGGGTCCTTATTATAAGGGGATCCTACTGTTTGGGGATCTATTTTAGGGGCCCCTGATTTCGTGGACCGCCCCCAAATCCACCGCGGGCCTCGTCCGGCATTGACCAGCCTGTCCGGGGCGGCTCAGCCACCTCAGGACGTTTAGGGTTTAGGATGGGTTTAGGGTTTAGGGTTTAGGGTTTAGGGTTTAGGGTTTAGGGTTTAGGGTTTAGGGTTTAGGGTTTAGGGTTTAGGGTTTAGGGCTTAGGGCTTAGGGTTTAGGGTTTAGGGTTTAGCGTTTAGGGTTTAGGGTTTAGGGTTTAGGGTTTAGGGGGGTTTAGGGTTTAGGGTTGTTTAGGGTTTAGGGTTTATAGGGTTTAGGGTTTGGGTCTCGAGAAGCTCCCCCATGGAGGTTCTGGGGCTCCGGCAGATGGCGATGCCTTTGCAGCGCAGTAGAAGCTGTTGAACTGGTCCTGGAACTCTTCCCCTAAACCCTAAACCCTAAACCCTAAACCCTAAACCCTAAAGCCCTAACCTGAAACCCTAAACCCTAAACCCGAACCCTAAGCCCTAAGCCCCAAACCCTTTTCTCGGTGGGAAGGTGCGCGGCTCACACTCGGACGAACCGGGCGAGGCAGGCTTTCAACAGGGCTTCTTGTTGTTGGCAGTTTAGGGCTTGAGGGGTTTAGGGGTTTAGGGTTTCGGGTCCGGGTTGAGGTTTGAGGTTTGAGGTTTAGGGTTTAGGGTTTAGGGTTTAGGGCTTAGGGCTCAGGAGGGAACTCCAGACCCCGAAGCCCTCTAGCCTAAGTCCGACACTCGGATCCGACCCCCTGGGCACCTCCTCCTTCGGAGTTTTCAGGGCCATCCTCGGAAACATCGGACTCAAAAAAAAAACTACTAATTGCTTCAGAACCCCCCAAAAAAACAAAAAATGAAAAAGACTCTTCCTTATAAGGGAGTCATATAGGATTATTATTTTTGGGGAGGTTCTTGAGCAAATTGTAGAACAGTGGCGCCCTTGAAAGCCTCCAGGACCCCGAGAGCCCTCGGGGATTTTGTTTAGGGTTTTTTGGGGTTTAGGTTTGAGGGATGAAGCTGGGGTAGGATATAAAAATGATATTCAAACCTGCCCCTGAAAGGGTTTTTGTAGAGGCTCCCCATTCCGATCAAGGCACCGCCACTCGCTCGCCTTGCTGCAGAAGAAGATCACATTGTCGTTTCCGCTGCGGTAGAGGGGCCTGGGCTATCAAGGCCGGCGGCCTCTCTGTTACCCTTGTACCTTAAGATAGCCCCTAGGTACCCTAAGGACAACATATGCCCCTATAAAGCAGAAACCCTACTTCAAGAGACCACCAAGCCATATAAGGCCTGGGCGAAAACGCTGTAGGCCCTTTGCAAGCTTGAGGCTGCCATTGGCTTAAGAACCCCCCCCCCCCCCCCCCCCCCGCCAGAAAAATTGAGAAGATTCTTCCTGGTCCTTAGAAGAGCAACATAGGATTGCCATTTTACATGCTGCTTTTTTTTTTTTTTGGGGGGGGGGGGGGGGGGGTTCTCTAGCAACAAATGGTAGGAAGCTGCGCCCACAATTTTGCAAAGCTGTCTACGAGCAAGGCTTGAGCCCGTCGAGCCCGCCCTGTTTGCGAGCGATCCGCTTCCGTCTTCTTTCTTGGTAGCCCAGTACCCATGCTATGATAAAGGGTACACTTTTTTGCGTTGGTTTAGGGTTTAGGGTTTAGGGTTTAGGGTTTAGGGTTTAGGGTTTAGGGTTTAGGGTTTAGGGTTTAGGGTTTAGGGTTTAGGAGTACTTGAGGTTTCTTGGCGGCCCAGCAACCATGTTCTGACAAGGGCGCCCGTTTTGGGGGCTCTTTTCTGGGTTGGCTACGTTATAAGGGACACTTAAAAACCCAAAGAAAGGACTGGGCTGCCAAGGTTTCAGGAGTCTCAGCACGGCCCGCTGCATCGAGCAGAAAGGACACTAGTTGCGGCCCCAAGTCGCATGTTGTCACGCGCCCCCACTCGCTTGTAGGGGCCTGCGGGAAGGAAGCATGAGGGCGCAAAGCTGCCAGAATCACGATTACAGCCAACTTGGCAACCCACATGCTCGCGTCCATGTTTTGCAGTCACTGCTAGAATTCCTGCTTCGCCAGAATCTTGGCGACCTCCACGTAGCTACATCTAGTGGTCCACCCAGCCCCACACACACACACTGTGTGCCAGAAGGTGCTGTAATACCAGGGGCGCTGGCTGATAATCCCTTCCCCGTGATGTTAAACCTCCCACCCACCCCTAAAAATGATCCCCATACAGGCCCATACACCATAATATATCTCTCATGGGAGTACTTAAAAATTAGGGGTAGAGAGGGGGGGGGGGTTTTGATACTAGGGGGAGGGGGGTTAAACCTAAACCACCACGTCAGCAGCAAAACCCTGGTGGCGCAGGCCGTTGCAGACGGTGGCGTTGGAGACGCGGAGCCTGTCCATGGGTGTTTAGGGTTTAGGGTTTAGGGTTTAGGGTTAGGGTTTAGGGTTTAGGGTTTGGGGTTTAGGCTTAGGGTTTAGGGTTTAAAAAACTCGGCTGCTCTGCTATGTGTCTTTACAGCTGGAAATGTGGTGAAGAACGCTCCCAACCGCAAACCCTCAAGCCTAAAGAGCCCTAAGCAAGGAGTTGAGTGAGCGCATGCTCGCCTAAGTGGCACCCCAGATGAATACCTTTTGCATTTATCTCTGCATGTTTGTGTTATATCTTACTTCTCCAATAGCCAAAGAAAAAATTAAACTTTATGATTCCTGCTAAGTATTAAAACCCCAAAAGTGTAAAAAAACTCATTCAATGGCTGTAACAGTACAGGGGGAACATCCCAAAGGGTGCCCTTTTTTTGGTTGCTGTATAAGGGAACCCAGAAGCCACAAAAAGGGACCCTAAACCCTAGGAACAGAGGGTCCACACTGAACAACTGCTTGAAAATCACTCTGTTATCGAGTTTAGGGTTCGAGATTTAGGATTTAGGGTTTAGGGTTTAGGGCTTAGGGCTTATAGGGGTTCAAGGGGGTATCCTTAAGACTCCCTAAGCTTCCTTAAGGTTTTCTAGGTACCCTCCCCCCGCTTGAACCCCCTCCCTTAAGAACCCGATAATCATTTCAACATGCCGAAGGCGACCCGAACGATCTCTGCATCTTGTGCATGTCGCGGTACCTGAAGCCATCCATGCTGCGGGCGGCATGTGCGCGTTGTGACAGTGGATGGGCACAGAGATGTCTCCTATACAAAGCAGAAGCCTTGCAACTTTCAACCCTTCTACCCTTGCAAGGGGGCCCGAATAGCCGATATAGCCTGCCATAAGAACACGAGTGAGAGCGGCGACTCTTGAGACTGCCACCGGACTAAAGGAGGGACCCTTACAAGGGACCTTCGGGGTTATTTGGGGGCAGGGGGATAGGATTAAGAGTCCCTTCTGGGGGTCCCTCCTTCTACCCCTTAAGACTGCCACTTGCTACCATGTTCACCCTCGATCCGAAACTTAGATCTCGAAGGTGATGCCTATCAACACGAAGCCCCTAAACCCTAAACCCTAAACCCTAAAACCTAAACCCTAAACCCTAAACCTACTATGGTACCCTTTTGTTACATCCGGACTCCTTTGGGTGCTATGGTACCCCTGAACCCTAAATCTTAGTGTCGCAGCAGGTCTTGTGGGAGGCACTTCCGAGCCGCAACCAGTCGCTGAACGTTCCGCTTCAAACCTCAGCCCAGGAGGGTTTAGGGTTTGGGGTTTGGGGTTTAGGGTTTAGGGTTTAGGGTTTAGGGTTTAGGCTTTAGGCTTTAGGGTTTAGGGTTTAGGGTTTAGGAATTTTGCTGCCCTGGCACTTCAGTTGGGGTGTTATGCGATGTCAGGGGTACCTTATTGGGGGTCCGTATTAAACGGGAATCCTACTGGAATCCGACTATTTGGGGGTCTATGCCGGGCACCCCTAAACCCTAAACCCTAAACCCTAAACCCTAAACCCTAAACCCCAAACCCCAAACCCTAAACCCTAAACCCTAAACCCACTTCAAGTCGACGGCGCCCCAAAGCTTACCGTGGCTGCGGCTGATCTCGCCATGGATCTGGACCTCCTTGTAGATGCTCAGCCTTTGTTCAGGGTTTAGGGTTTAGGGTTTAGGGTTTAGGGTTTAGGGTTCTATATCAGTGAGAGACCATGTGGACGGTTCGAAAAGCTGAAAACTGCTCACACCCTACCTTTGAGGGCGTTGCAAGGACAAGCAACACGAGGGGAGCAGTAGGAGCACAGAAGGGGCCCCCCGAGTTGACTAGAAAGCCAGCGCCTACTTCTGAGGGCGGCGCAAGAGAACAAACCTAAGAGAAACTCGAAAAGAGAGCCTCGCTGGGACCAATGTGTACGACCCTTATTATGCCCCTCACACGTTCAAGAGGTCGTTGGCACATGGAGTGCTGCAATGGCCAATGGTTGTGGGACTTCGTTGAGAGTGGGCCATCAAGGATCAAGGAGTGGAGGGGCCGCCGGAGCAGCGGGGGTAGCTCGTCTGAGCACTGCCCGGGCGTTTTCTCTGTGCAGAGTGATGCCCAGGGCCTGGTAAAGGCGATCGCCCCGTCGGGTTTAGGGTTTAGGGTTTAGGGTTCAGGGTTTAGGGTTTAGGGTTTAGGGTTTAGGAATGTAGATGCTCAGCTTCGGAACTGCCCGCTTACCATAGAATAAGGGGTGCTTTCGGGGGTTGCTTACCCCTAAGCCCGAAGCCCTAAACCCTAAACCCTAAGCCCTAAACCCAGACCATAACTTAGAGAACTGACCATGTGCAGCTGCTCGGGGGTGACAGCTCAGCGTTGCGCGTCTCGGAATTGCCGATGTGCGGGACATCCACACCTCGAGACTGAAGTAGGGTGTGGATGTTCCTTGTAATTATCCCCAAAAGGACACCCAATATATATATATATATATCCAATATGAAAAAGGAACTTTATACACACTCACCAGAAACAGTCATGTAAACCCTGGTTCATATCATCGCGGGTTTAGGGCTTGGGGTTCTCAAAGGTTTGGGGCTCAGGCTGGTTGCCTTTTGGGGTGTAGGAGGTTTAGGGTTCTAAGGTTTGGGGGGTTTAGGGTTCAAAGGTTTGGGGTTTAGGGTTCAAGGGTTTGGCGTTTAGGGTCTACAGACTCAAGAGCGCAGTCGCCACTAAACTACTTCAATCAATGTTGCATGGAATCTAGGGGGGTGCGAATAGCAAAGTACGGCTAGCACAGGCCCCGAGACGATGAGAAAGGCTTTGCTAAAGATCCCACTAGTTCAAACTTGTATAGGGGAGATATAAACCCCTAAACCCTAAACCCTAAACCCCAAACCCCAAACCCCAAACCCTAAACCCTAAACCCTAAACCCATTCCCTCATTCCCCAACTAAGAACCAGTAGCTTTGGGAGCCCTGCGGTGTACCCCTGGCAGAGCGTGATGCCACACCTGGGTCGCGTCGTGTGCTCTGTCGGGTTTAGGGTTTAGGGTTTAGGGGTTTAGGGTTTAGGGTTTAGGGTTTAGGGTTTAGGGTTTAGGGTTTAGGGTTTAGGGTTTAGGGTTTAGGGTCTTCTCTACACCCTATGCCCTATAAGCCTTGAACTCCAAGCGTCGTCTTCACAACAAACTGCAGAAAAGGCAAAGCACTTCGCGCGAAGCCCCCGAAGCTCCTTTTTGAAACCAGACTTGGTGACTGCCAGCGAAGAATCCCCTAAACAAACCCCTAAACCCTAAACCCTAAACCCTAAATCCTAAACCCTAAATCCTAAACCCCTAAACCCTCAAGCCCTGATTGGCATTCCGAGGCGCGTCAAAGTCAGAGCGCTGGCCTTTGCGAGTTGGCGGCTTGTACTTCCAGTACCTCCCCGGCTCCACTTGGGGGCTTCCAAATTAGGGGTTTGGGGTTTAGGGTTTAGGGTTCAGGGTTTAGGGTTTAGAGCACCTGTTTGGGGTCTTGAAATGAGGGAATCCTACTACTTGGGGGTCTATATTAAGGGTCCCCTATTTCGTAAACCCCCAGTTCAAAGTGCCATTGACCATTGAGGTTTAGGGGGTATAGGGTGGTTGGGGTTTAGGGGGTTTGGGCTAATGTCTGACTTTGGAGGCCCTAGTGTGTGGCCCCTGACCACTCTGTCTCTCCATCTCTCTCTGCTGGGGCATCAGCTAGCGAAGCGACTCAGCAAGATGCTAGCCGACACAGATTGGAACACCCCAAAACACCTAAACCCTATATAAAACCTAAAACCTAACATCACAAGACGTTTTTGTCCCAGCACACTCTGGCTCCTTCGGGGCCCCCTAGGTCTCGTCGGCAGCGTGCTTTTTCTTGCCACCCCAAGGTTTAGGGTTTAGGGTTTAGGGCTTAGGGCTTCGGGTTTAGAGCTTTTGGTTTAGGGTTTCTGCTTTAGGGTTCCCCCAGATGGCCACCAACATGCCACAAAGAGTTCCAGGGTTCCAGGACATGAGGGAGCACGGGCCGAAGTCGAACGAAGCGCGGCCTGAAGACAGGGCTGAGGGTTGAGGGTTGAGGGTTGAGGGTTGAGGGCTGAGGGTTGAGGGTTGTGGGTTGTGAGGGTTGAGGGCTGAGGGCTGAGGGTTGAGGGTTGAGGGTTGAGGGTTGAGGGTTGCGGGTTGCGGGTTGAGGGTTGAGGGTTGAGGGTGGAGGGTGCGCCCGCCTTTGATCGACATGGCCGGATACACTTTCAGGCCTCAAGGCAACTCGGGCTGACATGCAATCTGCAGCCCGGGTACGCTACCTCAACGTTTGGGGTGCTGGCCGTGCACGCGCACTTATCCCTGATCTTCATCTGCTCATCTCGGGCTTTATCCGGTCATACAACCTGCTACCCTCGAAATCAATATGACGGCCTAGACCACACCTTTGAATCATTTAAGCACTCTCAGATGTAACGTCCTGCACTGATGAACCACACTGATGAATGCCATGGCAAAGATCTGAAACCTTGCGAACTCGAGGTTCGAAGCCCCGGTTTGGTTGCTTGTGGAGTTTACGGTTTAGGGTTCAGGGTTTAGGGTTTAGGGTTTAGGGTTACCTTGATGGTTCCGGCACACCTCCCGGAGGCTGGGGCCACCTCTGCTTGGAAGCCCGTTCGACTTAGCAAGTAGCTATAGGGTTCATAAGGTGGGCTATGGGGGTTTAGTGGGGGTTCTAAGTAGAGTCAAAAGAGCTACGTGGCCCGCAATATTAGAGTTTAGGGCTTAGGCCTTGGGGTTCAGGGCTGAAATCGTGTGCAAAAAATTGCAAAAAAAGCTCTGGTCGCCGTGCTGTATGCAGGGGTGGGGGGAAGGGGTGCATGGGTTTGTTGCCCAGGGTTTAGGACCTATGTGGGTGCAGGACTTGGGAATTTACCTTCAGGTTCGGGGAGTAGGGTTCCGGTTTGCCTAAACCCTAAACCCCTAAACCCCTAAACCCCAAACCCTAAACCCCAAACCCTAAACCCTAAACCCCAAACCCTAAACCCTAAACCCCAAACCCTAAACCCTAAACCCCTGAACACCTGAACCCCTGAACCCCTGAAGGGCTCCCGCTTTCCTGAGGCGCCGGGCCCTTGGGGATCAAATCCTGTGTTAGGGTTTAGGGTTTAGGGTTTAGGGTTTAGGGTTTAGGGTTTAGGGTTTTGGGGGTTTTTGGCGTTTTGGGTTTGGTTGAAGTTGCGGGTCCCCGAAGTCCAAGGTTTAAGGTCTAGGGTTTAGGCTGTTAGGGTTTAGGGCTTGTGAAGGTTTCAGCGTTTGGGGTTTTGGGGCTTTCGGAATAAAGGTCTTGGGGGGTTTTAGGGTTCTGGGGTCTATGGTTTAGGGGGTCTATGGTTTGGGAAGAATGGTGGTTTAGGGTCGACTTAACAACTCCAACAAGCTACTTGTCGAAGTTTCTTGCAGCTCCTTCAGCAATGTGACCTCCGCCCCCCTCCCCCTCCCCCCCCCCCCCCCCCCCCCCCCCCCCCCCCCCCCCTAAAAAAAAAGGTCTGAAAAAAAAGAGACAAAAATTGTGGTCTTAAGGTAGGGTAGGGCCTTCCCCATAAAAAAAGAGGTTTGAACAAAAAAAGAGACAAAAATGGGTTCCTAAGGTAGGGTGAGCCCTCCCCATAAAAAGATGGTTTGAAAAACAAAAAGACAAACATTGGGTTCTTAAGGTAGGGTCGGGAGTCAAGGGCCCGTTGAGTTGGGGGGACCACAGAAGTACGGAAGACCAGCGGTGAAAGATGTACAGTGTTGAGTTTGGTATTTAGGGTTGAGGGTTCAGGGTGTAAGGACTCTTCCCTAAACCCTAAACCCTATACCCTAAACCCCAAACTCCAAACCCCTAAAATTATTTAGGGTTTAGCGGTTGGTCTCTAAGAGTTCAGGCTTCAGAGCTGTGGGGTTTGGGAATGGGGGAGCCCGAAAAAAAGATCCCCAAATAGTAGGATCCCCTTACAATAAGGACAATAAGGACCCCCTAAACCCTAAACCCTAAACCATAAACCCTAAACCCTAAACCCTAAACCCTAAAACCTAAACCCGAAACCCTAAACCCTAAACCCTAAACCCCCCCCATTTTGGGGCTTAGGGCTTAAGGGTGTTCGGCCTGGTCAAAGGTCGGCATCTCCATCCACTTGGAATCCCACTGCCCGTCCGTGGCGAAGTACATCTTTCCTCGCGGTTTAGGGTTTAGGGTTTAGGGTTTAGGGTTTGGGGTGTAGGGTTTCGAGGCTCCCAAAGTAAACCCTAACCAAACCCTGCCTGGAGGGCTGGGGGGACTTCGCAATTAGATGTTAAGTACGTAGAGTGACTCAAGAAGGAGCGCCCCAATCAGGATCCCGTTCAGAGCACTTGTAACTCTGCTCTGTAGCTGCTCCCTCAGTCGCCAGATCCTCCAGTGCAGGCAAGCCCCACATGCCCGAAACGCATGCGCAACCTAATTTTAGGGTTTAGGGTTTAGGGTTTAGGGTTTAGGGTTTAGGGTTTAGGGTTTAGGGTTTAGGGTAGGATTCAGGGTGCAGGACTCTTGCTCAAAAGAGGAGCCTTTGAAAGCCCAACGCAGGTTTGCCACTCGTGTTAGTCCCCGTTGCAGCGACCCGACTTCCCTTCCTCAATCATGGGATGCAGCCGAGTAGCTTTGATCCAGATCCACCGCCACGCAGACAGTCACCTCGTCCACTCTTTGCTTAAGAACCCTGAGAAAAACAAATGATAATCATCCTATATTGCCGTTATAAGAAAGAATATTTTGTGTTTTTGGGGGTTCTTAAGCAATTAGTAGTGAAGGCTACTATACCCTTAACCCTAAACCCTAAACCCTAAACCCTGTTGCAGGACCGAGCTGGTCGTGCTTTGCAACAGAACCCCTGAGACTTCTCTCAGAGAAGTTGCTCGAAGGCTGGCTCGCAGTAGCAGGGCTGAGCTGGCTTAGGGGTTTAGGGTTTAGGGTTTAGGGTACCCAACACGGCCCTGGGCTGTTTGGGGTAACCGAGCTCCTGGCATCCTCGCTGAGCCTCCGTGTGCCCTGGCCAAGCAGGCACGTGCAACTGGAGGGTGTTTGAGGTTTGGGTATAGGGCTCTAGACCCTAAAACCCTGAACCTTAAAACCCTAACACCCATAAACCCTAAACCCTAAACCCGAAAACCCTAAACCTTAAAACCCTAACACCCCTAAACCTCAAGGGATGTTCAGGGTTTCTAGGGCTTCACAGACAACCGTTTTGAGTTCTTCATGCCTGCAGCTTGGAAGGGCCAAGGGCTTCAGGGTCGAAGGGTTTAGGGTTCAGGGTTGAGGGTTTAGGGTTTAGGGTTTAGGGTTTAGGGTTGAGGGTTGAGGGTTGAGGGTTTAGGGTTTAGGGTTTCGGAAGGGCCCAGGGATGCTCCAACAGTTTGTCGCCCACATTGGCTGGAACGCCCTCAACCCTAAACCCTAAACCCTAAACCCTAAACCCTAAACCCTAAACCCTAAACCCTAAACCTACACCATAAACCCAAAAAGGAAGCTCCTTAAGGCTGTGAAATGCTTGCCGCAGGCTTCAGGTCTCCTCACCACTGCCTAAAGAATTTTACCCTAAGCCCCAAACCGTAAACCTCAGCCTCAACCCCTTGTTTGCAGCTAGGCTCACATCCCCAACCCCCTGGCCGATTTCCGCATGGCCTCCGTGGAAGGCCAAGTTTGGCCCCAGGGAAGGGCCTCGCCTGTGACGGGGTTTAGGGTTTAGGGTTCAGGGTTCAGGGTTTAGGGTTTAGGGTTTAGTAAAGGGTTTGGGGTTTGGGGTTTGTTTAGGGTTTAGGGTGTAGGTAGGGTTTAGGGAGAAAGCAAGAACGGAGCAAATGACTGTTGTCCGGGACCTCGGTGCCAGCGGATGGCGCTCTGACCATCGACAGCCTTGGTCCCAATGTCAGGAAGATGACACCAAAGTACTATTTTCTTAAGAACCCCAACAAAATTTAAACAATAATTATTCCTATATTGCCCTGATAAGGAATCATGTTTTTTGCTTTTTGGGAGGTTCCTAAGCAAATAGTCAAGCGACTTTGGCTTTGGAGTGACTTGCTGGATACGCTCTCCAGCCCTGTCTATGAATGTGCTGCGACTTTTCCAGGGCAGAAAAATCTGGGAGTTGCACCCAGCCGTTTTCGCAGTCGCCCACACCCTGTCAGGCAGGTCTGCTCTACTGCACACACCAACCCTCTACAGCCATCCTATTGCATGCTAACCCCTTGGCTGACCACCCCCACTTTCCCTCGCACCACACTGAACTCTACTCCCCTAAGCCACCACCATAAGCCAATGAACTTGCTTAGGAATATAGGCAGTGGAGTCTCAGGAGAGATAATCAACTACTCTGAGCAGCAGCGCCACGCGGCCAAACACCAAACGATGCCCCAAAAAGGCCAACAAAGCGCGCCTGTGTGCTGTGTGCTCCCGGTTGCCGCTTGAAGTCCTGATCGGCCCACCGTGCTCGGGGACCCGGGGAGAAACGCCGCTGTTTGAAAATAACCCCTAAACCCTCAACCCTCAACCCTAAACCCTGAAGCCTAAACCCTGAAGACTGAATGAATCAAGCTCTACGTTCGAGATTCGCAGGAACCTGAACGAGGCCGGAAAACTCGGAAAAAAAAAGAAAAAAAAAAACCTCCGACGGGGCGCAACTAATCCTGATGGATGTCGAAACCGAAAGGGTACCTCGGAAAATCTTGATCCTTCTTGGGTCCTTCTCATCCTATGGCTTTCAAATTTCCCTCTTTTTTTACCCAGGCTCCGGAAGTCAGCTGGGAAAGGCCTTTGACAAACTTTCGGTCAAATTACCCTAAAAACCCTAAAACCCGAAAACCCTAAAGCCCTGAAACCCTCCCTAAACCCTAAACCCTAAACCCCAAACCCCAAACCCTAAACCCCAGACCCTAAACCCTAATTCATCGGAGTTCCCTTGTCCGGCCTGGCTAAGGAGCCCGACCTGTGGCGCCTCGGCACCTTGAAGCTTGCCCCGGGGCTTTCTTGGAGGTTCATGGCCGGGTTTAGGCTTTAGGGTTTAGGGTTTAGGGTAGAGGGTTTAGGGTTTAGGGTTTAGGGTTTGGGGTCTAGGGTTCAGGGTTTAGGGTTTAGGGACCTGCTTTGGGATTGCAGGGGCCCGGGGCAAAGGAAGGCTCATGGGAAGCTAAGTATGCATGAGTCGGGTGAAGCCCCTTTGGATTATGAAGAGTTTCATGGGTAGGCAGAACATAGTTTAATAGGTTCAGAAGTACCACCACATAGGCTCAGAACCAGGTAAAACGACGAGCTTTGCACGCTATCAAAAGGAAAAACAATGCCGAAGACCAAGGCCGGCGTCTACGAAGCCCATTGCAGCAACATGGTCTTCCACATCAGGCTCATCCAATGAAAGCAGGCCCTAAACCCCAAACCCTAAACCCAAACCCCAAACCCTAAACCCTAAAACCCTAAAGCCCCAACCCCTAAACCCCAACCCCGGGCATCTGAATTGAGCATCTGGCTCAGGGTGTAGGGTTTAGGTTTTAGGGTTTAGGGTTGTAGGGTTTTAGGGTTTAGGGTTTAGCCCACGAAGCCGCGGTTTAGGTTGGGGTTGAGGGCTTCCGGGTTGAGGGCTAAGCGGAAAAACCCTACACCCTAAACCCCAAACCCAAAACCCCGAATCGTGAGTCCCCACAACGCCTTCAACCGCGGCCCCCCGGCCTGCAATGAGGTGCACTTCGAAGTAGTACTTGCCACTGCCCTGAGGTGTACAGGCCAGACAGGCTGGGGTTTAGGGTTTAGGGTTTAGGGTTTAGGGTTTAGGGTTTAGGGTTTAGGGTTTAGGGTTTAGGGTTTAGGGTTTAGGGTTTAGGGTTTAGGGTTTAGGGTTTAGGTTTTAGGGTTTAGGGTTTAGGGGTTTTGGAACTGCAAGCGATGCCTCAACCCTGCTTTTGAACCCACAAAGAAGTTTAAACAAATGTTCTTCCTTAAAAAGGGGTTATTTATGTTTTTAAAATGATTCTTGTGTTTCTTAAGCAAATTGCAGTGTCTGGGCTCAAGCAAAGAGATACTGACGAAACACTTCTCAAGTAAATCCAAGGACCAACCTCCAAGGGGTTTGCGGTTTCGGGTTTAGGGTTTAGGGTTTAGGGTTTAGCGTTTAGGGGGATTTAGGGTTAAGGGCCTTGGGGGTTTCTGTTTAGGGTTTGGGGTTGGGGTTGAGCCTGCGCCAGCTGCGGATAGCCAAGAGTGACCCAGTCCATGACGGGATCCTGCAAAATGAGCTGGATTTAGTAGAGTTTGGGCTATAGGCTTTCGAAACTTAGTAGGGTTTAGGGCTATAGGGGTTACAAAACACCCCAACAAGCCTAAACCCTAAACCCCCTAAAAGCCCTAACCCCAAACCCCACAAGCCCTGAAAGCCCCCCACATGCGGCTTCGAGTTTCGGCCTTAAGGCTTCGGGCTTGGGATGTTCCCCCCTATACTAGCAGTCCTTAGGAGAGATTATAATAGGCTAACCCCTAAACCCTAAACCCTAAACCCTAAACCCTAAAAGGAACTGTCAGTATAAGGGGAACATCCCCACTTGGGGCTTACAAGGGATTCGGACGCACGGAACCCATGGAGCCCAACGAAGGGTTCAGGGTTTGGGTTTAGGGCTTCGGGTTTAGGGTTTAGGGCTTCGGGTCTAGGGTTTAGGGTTTAGGGCTTCGGGTTTAGAGTTTCGGCTTTAGGGTTTAGGGTTTAGGGCTTGGGGTTTGGCGTTTAGGGGTCAGGGATCAGTGTTTGCAAGAGTGTAGGGCTTTTGTTGCCACCCGCAGAGCTGACACCGGAGGAGCATCCCGCAGGGACCGGGCCCACTGGGAGGTTCTTGAGGACCGGGGCCACGGGTAGGGTAGCTACAGCTATGGCTGATCATCAGCCTTTTCCGGAACACTCGTAACATGACCTACTGACAATGAAACCTAGTAGTGAACCTACACGGGCACGGAGTAAAACAGAAAAATGCCCTAGCACAAATGAGGCACCCCAGCCCGTAACTGAACACTAAGTAGCCTAGAACCCCCTAAAAAAGCAAAGCTGAACATCATGCCCTGTTCCGAAGCCTCCAACAACACTAAAGAAACACCCCTGCTCTTGCCTTGAGAAGTTCGAACCTGTTATTGAATTAAACCCCAAACCCTGGTTTACTGGGGTAGGTTTGGGGGGGCCCTATAGTTACCTTCTGATGGCTCTATAAGGAGTATCTAGGGGGCTAAGGGTAATAAATCATAAACACTATGTTCAAACTAGGGTTGAGTTGAGGGTTGCGGTTTCGGGTTTAGGGTTTAGGGTTTAGGGTTCGGGGTTTAATCGCTCACACTCGGACAAGCCAGGCGAGGCACACAGGTTCCACAGTCTCAACATCGGCTCTGCAGCACATGTGGCCACAGTCATGCTGGTGATACTACTCAACACTCACTGTTTGCTAACTGGTGAAAGGCTCATTGGCTAGTGAAACCTACCCAGGACATGTCAGTACTTTTCTTCTGAGCTGGTGGGCGTTCAAGTCACACGGGGCAGGAGAGAAATGGTTGACCCCAGAGCCCCATACAAAGTTCAGGTAACGTGCTAATTTCCTATTACTCTGCCATTTCTCCCCCCATGGGATTCATCCTCTTTGCCCCTGCACCATCTGTGCTACGCCCTTTCACTGTCTCGTCTCTTTGGCCAGGTGTCTGCCCAGTGCTGTCTCCGGTCGCTCACGTGCCCTTCCGCTGTCATCATCTCGTCATTGTCTGGCGCGCCTTGGGGCCTAGGCCTCAGCCCATTGTCAGCGAAGCCACATGGTTCCTTTGCGGAGACTCGCCATCCTTGAATTCTGCTTGAATTCCTGAATGTTAACTTGAATTCCTGAATTCCAGGTTCGGGGTTTAGGGTTTAGGGTTTAGGGTTTGGGGTTTAGGGTTTAGGGTTTAGGGTTTGGGGTTTGGGGTTTGGGGTTTAGGGTTACTCTCGACACCCGGCGGCGACTCCTCCGTGGAGCCTCTGAGAAGTTCCGGCCGAACTGTGCCTTTGGAGGCCCCTGCCTGGCAGAGACTGCCCAAAAACAGCAGAACTAGGGTTTAGGGTTTAGGGTTGGTTTAAGGTTTAAGGGTTGTTCAAGATTTAGGGTTCATGGCTTTTGGCCTTACCACTTTATTGCCCCAGAACCCTACACCCGAAACCGTATCAAGGCAGCGTTTGCCATGGCAAGCTATGTTCTTTGCTGGGGGCATTTGGTCTGCTGAGAGGTTGAGGGTGAGGGTTTAGGGCTTTGTGTTCAAGGACTTCGTCGTTGAGACTGTAGGACGGCGACGACGAGGGCTACCGCTACTACTTCTACTGGCATTGTTGCTACAAGCACATCCAAAAGATCGAGCTCCCTGACCATCATGTAAGCGAGCCCCTAAAATAAACCCTTTCGCCCTTTTAAAAAACATTTAAACTTCTTGCTGGGCCACCAGTCCCCTGAACTCCAAAACCAAAAAACCGAACATCCCGAATCTGGATCCTGCTACACACAAAACTCTACGGTGAGCTGAACTCCCGTCCACCCGCGCGTGGGAAGCCACGAGGATGACCTCAGTCAGCCATGGCCGGTGGTGCAAGTTACCCGAGGCTGAGGGGCTTGAGCGTTCAAGGGTTTAAGGCTTAAGGGGGCCTTAAGTAAGGGGGCGAAAAGGGTCTAGGGCTCATGTGTTCAGCGGTTGAAGGGGATCTTCTCAAGGTGGACTTACTTAAGTGTTCAAGGGGGCTTGAGGAGGTTTAAGGGGTCTCATGGGGATTTGAAAGAAGACGTTGAGGATTCGGGCTTGAAAGGGTTTTCTTTACGGAGCCCTTGGCGATCATTCTTTAGGACTTCAGGACCGGGGAGGTTCAACACCTCTGGTTTGGGAAGCGACATGCAAGCGCTAGCCCCAAAAACACGGAAGCAACAATCCTCACACCGGAAAGCCTCAAAAGAAACCAATGCCCTGAAAAATACGCCCAAAACCCCAAACCCCACACACCTAACCCCTAAACCCAGACCCTCAACCCACTGTGGCTTTTGTACCTGCCATCCCTTACACTGGTGCTTTGCCTGGAAGCTGCTTTCAAGCCTAGACCCTGACCCCTAAACCCTAGACCCGAAACCCTAAAGACTCCGCCTGCCTCGATGAAACCTGCGACCCTGAGGCCTGAACCCTGAACCCTAAACCCTACACCCTAAACCCTAAATCCTAAACCCTAAACCCTAAACCCCAAACCCCAAACCCTAAAACGAGCGGGCCCTCAGCATGCACACGACGCCCCGGGATGCCAACTCCCTGCAGCTCCTGATCGTTGTACTCCTAAGCTCAGGGCGGTTTAGGGTTTAGGGTTTAGGGTTTAGGGTTTAGGGTTTAGGGTTTAGGGTTTAGGGTTTAGGGTTTAGGGTGGTTTAGGGCGTAGGGGGTCTAGGGTTTGGGGTTTAGGGGGTTTAGGGTTTCGGGCTTCGGACCTTAGGACTTTTGGGGACTTCGGGCGTCGGACTACAATGGGGCTACTGGGAATACAAAACCAGATTAAACAGACAAGTCTCGTTCAACACGTGCGCGTACTTGTCGAGGACGGCCAATCTCGACCTTGAAGGTCGCACAAGGTTTGGGCCAGCCCTAAACCCTAAACCCTAAACCCTAAACCCAGATGAACATCTGAAGAAGAGCAGAGACGAGCTCGTGCCACAAAGAGCGAATATGTCCAGCGAACCCTCTTTTGAGTAGGGACTGCAGTTCAAACCCCAAACCCTAAACCCTAAACCCCCTAAAACCCCCTAAAACCCCCTAAAACCCCCCTAAAACCCCCTAAAACCCCCTAAAACCCGTAAATCATGTTTAACACAAGTTGATCTCAGGTCCCAACCCTTGGATTCCTCCCGAGTCCGTGCTTGCGAAGGTGCAGCGGAGGCGCACGTCCTGTCGGGACCCAAGCCTTGTTCTACAGATCTTACCTAGCTCCAGGTTTAGGCGGGGTTTAGGGGGGCCCGAGGATTTAGGGTTTAGGGTTTAGGGTTTAGGGTTTAGGGTTTAGGGTAAGAAGTGGGCAGTGCCCCGACGCAGCCGACGGCTGCCAAGGTGATGGGCGGTCCTTCAGCACCAGATAGGAGTCGCCGTACTGCCTGGAACAGGGAGCTGGTTTGGGAATAGGGTTTAGGGTTTAGGGTTTAGGGTTTGGGGTTTAGGGTTTAGGGTTTAGGGTTTAGGGTGTAGGGTGTAGGGTTTAGGGTACTTTTTGGATCCTCCCAAAGGTCTGGGCAAGGGGTGAAAAAGGATAACGAACACCAAAAAAGTGGCGTTTGAAACGGTTGGCGCAGGTTGAAGACATTGAAGGGCAGAAAAGCTGGACTGTCCAGCACCAGGGCCATTTAGAGTTTCGGGTTTAGGGTTTAGGGTTTAGGGTATAGGGTATACGGTATAGCGTTTAGGGTTTAGGGTTAGAAGCCTGCGTGCGTTGTTTGGAGTCGGACACACTCGGAGGCTGCAAAACTTAACCCGGAACCGAGATCTCTTCCTGTGCAAGCCTGTTGAACCCAACAGCCTACCCCTGTTTTACTTCCCTGAAGGCCCCAAACCGCCCACCAGCCCACACCACCCCAGCCCCCCAACCCCCCAACAAAAAAAAATCTCAAAGCCGCAAGAGACTCGTTTTTTCATCCGGAAAATTAAATCTCCAACTCCCCGCGCTCCTGGCAGACACCACCCCGCGGTAGTCATTCATGACCTCTGCTCATCCAGGAATAGCTCGCGGCTCGGGGCAGCTGTGGGAAAAAAGGGCGTGGGATTGTTTGTTTTGTAGGGAGTACTGTAGAGTTGTTCTAGCAGAGAGGCCTACTTGAAAAAGAACGCCGTGGGTGTTTTGGGTAGTTGGTATATATTCTGATAGGAACAATGGTGGTACTTCTCTGGGCTCCCGTGCTACCGGGGAGGGGGAATTCGGGTTGAGAGGGTTGAGAGGGTTGAGAGGGTTTAGAGGGTTTAGAGGGTTCAGGGTGTTTAGAGGGTTTAGAGGGTTTAGAGGGTTCAGGGTGTTTAGAGGGTTTAGGAGGTGTAGATCTACATGATGCGCCCTCTTACTCTATGGAGGGGATCACTTGGATCCCTGCGTGTCTAGGGGGGTTTCTGCAGGCGTAGATTGCCATCACAGAGATCGGGAAGTACAGCCCTGCCCACCAGCGGAGCTCGCACAGCAGTCATTCCTCTGCACGACAGTGGTTCCGCACGGGTGCTAAAGAAATCCACATCCTGTAAATGAGCCCGATGTCTATGGAGAACTTCTGGTTGGCATTCGAGGAAGCCCCAGAATGCACCTTTGACTTTGAAAAACCAACCCCATGTTCTCTTAGCAGCTCAGCGCCCAACGCTCAGCGCTCCGTACTTGCACCGGTCGAAGGGCTTGGCATCGTCATAGGCCCCGCCAAACAGCTCCTGTGAACGAAGCGAAGGTCTTCCAGCAGAAGCTGCAGCAACAATATTGGCGTGCGTGTGGAAATCTACCTTCCTACATAGCAGACCATACCGATCTATCGCCTTGCACCGTTCCGTATTGTACCTAAACCCTAAACCCTAAACCCTAAACCCTAAACCCTAAACCCTAAACCCTAAACCCTAAACATCCTCCCACCCGTCCACACGTCCATCCACCAATCCACCCATGTGCGTGGGTTCAGGCTGCCACCTTTCCGAGGAGCTATCTGGCCCGCATGCCGACCAGCTTAGGGTAGAAGCCACGTGTTGATGTACGTCCATATGTGTGTGACGCGCATTTGTACCTGTAGACGAAGATGTGCAACAACCCAAAACACCCTTAACCCTAAACACCCTTAACCCTAAACCCCAAACCCTAAACCCTTAAAAGCCCCTGAGGCCGGCAGTCCCTCTCCCAGTTCTGGCGAGTGCGGTTCTCGGGGTCCAGAGCCTCTCCCGGAAACGGCTGGGTTTCGGGTTTAGGGTTTAGGGTTTAGGGTTTAGGGTTTGGGGTTTAGGGTTTAGGGTTTAGGGTTTAGGGTGCAGCGCTTGCAAGCTTAGGATTCAGGCATTCTTGTTTTTTATGGCGGAGGGTTTCGTATGCTCTGAAAATGGCCGGAGAGCAGCTTGTGAAGTGGAACTTGTTCAGAAGGTTGCTTTCTAGGTGGCCGTACGAGAGCGCCCGTGATATTCCTATGAAAGATATACGCAGATCCCGGTGCGCGAAGTGCTCCACATGCTGCACGACTTGTGTCTGCTCTTTCAGCCCTTACGTGCTTACGCATGGGGGAAGGCCCCACTCCTTACCCTAAACCCTAAACCCTAAACCCTAATGGCACGCTCGTGCTTTGACCCTAAAGTGCAGTGAGGCTTCTACTTGGAAGTTCATGGTACTTATTGACCAATTATAACTGTACACCTATAACCCACTTGTGCACTTACAAGTCCCTTTTGTTAAAAGTCCCTCAAGTGCCCACTTAATATGGTTGTAAGTATAGTTATAAGTACAGTCATACTTGGTTAAGAAGTACCATGAACCTCCCTAAACCCTAAACCCTAAACCCTAAACCCTAAACCCTAAACCCTAAACCCTAAACCCTAAACCCTAAACCCTAAACCCTAAACCCAAGTACATGAACCTCCAAGTTTTTCTGAGCCCCTGGCACCACAGCTCGTCTTCGTCTCGAACTGGTTCCGGTAGTACTCGTCTATCTGCGATCGATTTAGGGGATTCGGCAGTCGAGGGGAGGACATGGGGCCCCAAACCACCCTAAACCCTAAACCCTAAACCCTGAACCCTCAACCCTAAACCCTGAACCCTAATCCCTGAACCCTAAACCTACAGCGGCTGTGAGCTGATGATCAGAGAAGGAAGGTCCTCTGCAAGATGTTCGCGCCCCGGAGAAGAAACTCTGCAAGCAACAGCACACCGAAGGGTTTAGGATTTAGGGTTTAGTAATTTAGGGTTTAGGGTTTAGGGTTTGGGGTTTAGGGTTTAGGGTTTAGGGTTTAGGGTGTCCCCCAACTCCACGACTTCGAGCCCGAAACTTCTAAGGTCCGCAAAGTGTGAAGTGTCGATAGAGTACTTCCATCTTCAACATATCCTCAGCAGGTGGGTTTTGGGCTTCGGGGTTAGGGACTTGCGGCAGCTGAGGGAATGAAAGTTCCAGATGCAAAATAGCTTGGAAAACCTGGTCAAAAACAACGCAGAACAAGCGAATCAACCGTGCAAGCACATTTGCAAGGTGGCTCATGCACACCCGGATGCATTAACATGTGCTTGTCACCCTGAACTTAGGCCCTAAACCCTGTAACCCCTCGCAACCCACAGAGAGTCAGGGCAACGGCTGGAAGAGAGGTAGCCAGTCTTAGGGAAGCTTCGAACTCCAGTTCCGTAGTTTCCTCCGGCCCTCGACTAGCTACTAGGTTCTTGATAAAGAAGTTGAACACTAGATTGCCATAAGCTCGGACACTTTACACATTCTGTTTCTCTTCTATATTATTTCTAGAACCCACGACTGACAAGTTCCTTAGCAAGAGACCAGTCTAAGCCCTAAACCCAGCACCCTAAACCCTAAACCTAAACCCTAAACCCTAACCCTAAACCCTAAACCCTAAACCCTGTTCCCACCTCCATGAAGGCGCCAACCCGATCCATGTGAACATGCACCACCACCGGAGCCAAGTCCTCTCAGGGTTTGGGGGGTTTAGGGTTTAGGGTTTAGGGTTTAGGGTTTAGGGTTTAGGGTTTAGGGTTTAGGGTTTAGGGTTTAGGGTTTAGGGTTTAGGGTTTAGGGTTTAGGGTTTGGGGGGTTGAGGGTTTGGGGGGTTGAGGGTTTGGGGGCTGAGGGTTTAGGGTTTAGGGTTTAGGGTTTAGGGTTTGGGGTTTAGGGTTTAGGGTTTGGGGGCTGAGGGTTTAGGTTTGAGGGTTTAGGGTTGGCTTAAGAGGCACCCCTCAACAAACAAATTGAACATCTTCTTCCCTATAAAGGCAATATGGAGATTCTTAAGGAAAAAGAAGGGGCTTTGGGCTTGGGGCATAGGGTTGAGGGTTGAGGGCTTAGGGATGAGGGTTTAGGGTTGAGGGGTTAAGTCTCAGTGGTTAGGGTTTAGGCCGAGGATTTAGGCCTCAGGGTTAATTGATTTGAAGGCTTCCTACATAGCTCGGGGGTCTATTCCTTAGGTCTCTTCATGGTGCTGAGTTCCCTAGGGTGAGAAAGGTATGCCTTGGTGCTCGAAGGGGATTTGGAGCAGCCGCCCACAAGGTTCAGGGTTTAGGGCTTAGGGTTGAGGGTCTAGGGCTTTGGGGGACTTGGCGCGGGCTCAAGGATACCTACTCAGCACCTAAGACTAGCCCTGACATGCATTAGGAGTGTGACTTCAGGTATGTGCAGGGAATCATGGAATACAGCGTACCCTCCCGTACTGCAAACAGGACCCAAGTTTAGGAGCCTGGGGGGAGAAACCCTCCGTACATTGAACAGGTGCTATCATGGAAGTCCGACCTGATTTTTGCCTGACAAAGGGAGGAAATGTTGTTGGTTGAGCTAGGGTTTAGGGTTTAGGGTTTAGAGTTTAGGGTTTAGGGTTTAGGGTTTAGGGTTTAGGGTTTAGGGTGACATCCTTTCTCAATCCCTCTCCCAAGCCCTGTCTCGCGCCTGGATCCAGTCAAGCACGGTGCCGAGCATCTCGTCACCTGGCAGGGTGCACAAGACCCTATGTCCGTCTTTGCATCCCGATAAAATTGTTTTTTTTTATTAAAAAAAAAAAGCCCCAACCCCATCTCCTTCATTGCGCTGGCATGAACCATACCTTAAGGGGTCAGGCTGCAGGTGTTCGATGCTCACGCTAGAGAAAGACTTTCAGGAGCCTGCCTGAAAATGTGGGACGCCAAACTTCAAAAGCAAAACTCCTCGGCCTTAAACCCTTAACCCTAAACCCTGAACCCTAACCCTAAACCCTAAACCTTAAACCCCCGCCGTGGCCGAGCTTGGTGAAGCGCTCTCTGAGCCGTGGCAGGGCCTCACAGCTTCTGTTTTTGTGCCTTACCCAGCCCACTACAGGGTTTCGGGTTAGGATTTCCGGTTTAGGGTTGAGGGGCTTGAGGTGTGAAGACGGAGCTTACAGACAAGGAAAGTGAGGGTCATTTAGAAAGTGGACAAGCTCAAAGGACAAGAACGAAGAAAAGGCAGATGATCTGCTTGCGTGTGGCGTTGGAGCCTGCTTGCCTGTGTTGACTGGCCACGGGATTTCTGTAACCGAGCCAGCCCAAGCCCGAAAGAAGCTGCAGGGTTCCCAGGCCAGCTTCTAGGCTGCCCAGTAACAAGGCGTAAAAAGGGTGCCCTTTTTTGCTTAAAGGGGTTTATAAGGGAACCTAAACACCCCCAAAAAGGGAATAAGGGTACTACTGGGCATCCTAGGTTTTGTGGACCCTGCAGAATCTTCCATAACGGGCTGAAAGCCCCCAACACCCGAACAATGCCAAGGCTTATGAAGGCCTTTCTTGCACCTGGGCTGAGTAACCGTAGGCCCTACTTCGAGGTTCATGGTACTTAGTCAATTATCACTGTACCTATAACCCTATTGGGGTACTTGAAGGGCTGAGAAGTGGGGTAAAAACCCTAAACCCTAGACCCTAGACCCTAGACCCTAGATTGGGTTATAAGTCCCTGATCCTCCAAGTATACCTGAATCTACAGTCCGGTGCCTCGTCATGGAGCCGGGTGGCCTGCCCGCCCAATTTGGGGTTCAGGGTTTAGGGTTTGGGGTTTGCAGTTTGGGATTTAGGGTTTAGGGTTCGGGGTGGAAATGGGGGAACTGTCGCTCCTGAGGGCTTGGGATTCTTGCCTCAACTCAAGAGTATCCCCAAGGCCATGTCATCTACTTAAAACATATGTTTCCGGGACCTGGTGAATTAATTGTCTCCTTACGGGCTCTAGTAGCCTAATCTTTAGGTCCCCGGAGTATACGCATGCCGAGCCTGCGCGCGCACCGTGTACAAGGCCTTCCGCTGGCAGCTCTCCAGCCTTGCGATGGCCTGCATCTCCTCAAGGAGGTTGAGGCTGCAGGGTTCAGGGCTTAGGGCTTCGGGTAGAGAGTTCCGGGTTTCGGGTTTAGGGTTGGTTTAGGGTTTAGGGTTTAGGGGTTAAGGTTTAGGGTTCAGTGTTCAGGGTTCAGGGTTCAGGGTTTAGGGTTTAGGGTTTAGGGTCACTTCTGGGTGCCGAGCCGTCTCGGGCAGCAGCAGGCCCCAGAATGCCTCCGCAGCACTCTCGGGTCACATCTGGGAGTGCAGGCGCGTCGGGTTTCAGACCCTAAACCCTAAACCCTAAACCCTAAACTCTAAACCCTAAACCCTAGGAAGGTCTTGGGCCTAAGATGCCAGGCCTGCTGCTCATCCAAGATACCCGACTCCCGGAGGGCGCTGGCCACGGAGGCATCCTCGGGTTGGGAGCGTGGGTTTTAGGGTTAGGGGTTTAGGGTTTAGGGTTTAGGGGTTTAGGGTTTAGGGTTTAGGGTTTAGGGTTTCGGGTTTCGGGATACGGTTTCGGGTTTGCGGTTTAGGGTTCAGGAGGTCCTGGTGTCAAGCTTGGGGGGGGGGGGGGCAAGGTGACCATGCAGATACGACTGCCCAAAAAGGAAGCCACCCTTTTCACGGAACCCAAAACCTCAAGCCCTGAACCCTAAACCCTGAACCCCAAACCCTAAACCCTAACCCTAAACCCGAAACCCTAAACCCTAAACCCCGCCTCCACGCCGCTTAGGATCCAAGCCGGCGGCACGACCTCGGCCAAGAGCCGCATTCGGCTTTACAAGGCTTGGCCATCTCGGGGGTTATTTAGGGTTTAGGGTTTAGGGCTTAGGGTTTAGGGTTTAGGGTTTAGGGTCCTTACTGTAGCTTCTTCAACAACCCAAAAGGTTACAGTCCCAAGAGCCAGCCAGAAGAAAGCCAAGGTTGTGGGCGATTTTTAAGTGTTGTGCTTTTGGGCAGGTAGTTTGCTTGTGCATCCGAACACTCTAGAATCCAAAACTCCAAACCCCCAAACCCGAATACCCTAAGCCCTGAACCCCTTGTCTGACGCACGGACACCTCAGCCCCAACACGCGAAACCCAAGGCCCTAAGCCCTTAAGCAACCTCGCAGCCCAGTAACCATTTTAGAAAAAGGGTACCCTTTTTTGGGTTGGTTGCTTTATCAGGCAGAACCAAAAAAGGGTGAAAAGGGTACCCCTTAACCCTAAACCCTAAACCCCAAACCCTAAACCCTAAACCCCAAACCCCAAACCCTAAACCCCAAACCCTAAACCCCAAACCCTAAATCCTAAACCCCAAACCCTAAACCCTAAACCTACCAAGGCAACAAGCCCCAATCCCGGCCTGCCGCGCGGTCCACTTCCGCGTGGAGTCGGTTCCGAAGCCGAACTGCAGAAGGACACCAAAGGTGCCTTGTGCAAAGGCTTAAGGGGGTGTTGGGATTCCCGCAGACTGCCCTAAACCCTAAACCCTAAACCCTAACCCCTAAACCCTAATTACACCCTCAACCCTAAACCCTAGAATCCTTCCCATGGCTTGGGGCTTTGTAATGTCTTGTAGGGGACCTGTAACCCGAGACCTCCAAGTAAACCTCCTACAAAAGAGGCATCGAGGCTTTCGGGCGGCGACCTCGGGACTCGTGATGCTGCGGAAAAGGGCATTCGCTAAACCCTAAACCCTAAACCCTAAACCCTAAACCCTAATCCCTAAACCCTAAACCCTTTTTGAACCAGGAGTTGGGACATATGCCTGGAAGTGAGACTCAAGCACCTACACATGCTTGCACCGACAAAGGCCACCACATCTCGATCTGGGGCAAAAGCACAAGCTCATGGCCCGTGCGCCCCGCAACTTGCGACTCAGCTGCAACAAATTGTCATGTCGGGCACTCAACCCCACACCCTAAACCCTAAACCCTAAACCCTACACCCTAAACCCCAAGCAACGCGCCGGGCGCCTGGACCCATGTCCGTCTTGCCGAAGTACATGTGAACCCCAACTTTGAGCACCTTGTCGGGTGGAGGGCTCAGGGGTTCTATGGCGTGACTTGTTTTGGTGCCACCCTCGGTTTTGGGGTTTGGGGTTTAGGGTTTAGGGTTTAAGGTTTAGGGTGAGCCCTTTGGTCTCCAAGCCACTATGAACAAAACACCCCTAAACTTAATTAGAGTCCCAAACCCAAACCCGAAACCCACAAATGCCCTAAACCCCCCAAAACCCCTAAACCCACTGAAGCCCCACACCCTAGCAACAAAGCACCCACAAAATTTTGAGCCACAAACTCTAAACCCTAGACCCTCAGCCCTAAGCCCTAAGCCCTAAGCCCTCAGCCCTGAACCCTAAACCCTAAACCCTAAACCCTAAACCCTAAACCCTAAACCCTCCCCGACATGGGAGGCCTGGGCTTCCCTCCACCCATGGCTCTTCTGGCCCTGGACAAAGTAGTGCGCCTCAGGTTTGGGGTTTAGGGTTTAGGGATTTAGGGGTTTAGGAATTTAGGGTGTAGGGTTTAGGGGTTTAGGGGTTAGGGGTTTAGGGTTTAGGGTTTAGGGCTTAGGGCTTAGGGTTTAGGGTTTAGGGTTTAGGGATGGTTTAGGGTCGACGCCCGCCAAGCTTCAGGCGCGACTTCGGGCGGCCTGGATTTGAGGGCTTGGGGTTGTTTAGGCTTAGGGCAGTACTCCTAAACCCTAAACCCTAAACCCTAAACCCTGCAAAGCACCCAGGCCGTTTCTTCCAACCGACTTTCTCAGTCCCAGCTAGGAGCTGCTGAACCCTAAAGCCCTCGCGACTCAACCCTACTCGGAGCTTGTAAGCAGACCCCTAGATACCTCTACTCCAGATCAGTTACAACTACCCCCAAACCCTAAACCCTAAACTCGAAACCCTAAACCCCAAACCCTAAACCCTAAACCTCAAACCCTAAACCCCAAACCCTAAACCCTAAACTCTGAACCCTAAACCCTAAATCGATCTCGGGTCCGTACCCGGACCCGAGCGCCCTCGGCAATGCCGATGTAGTCGCACACGTCTTTGCGGCCTGGTTTTTGTGTGTGGCTCACAAGGGTTTAGGGTTTGGGGTTAGGGTTTGGGGTTTAGGGTTTAGGGTTTGGGGTCTAGGATTTAGGGTTTAGGGTTTAGGGTGTAGGGTTTAGGATTTCGGGTTCAGGGTCCATGGGGTTCTACGGGATTCGGGGATTCCAGCGGCGTTTGCTGGCTTCTGCATGAAAAACAACCACTCCCTGCTGGCAAACTGCGACCCACGGTCCACCAGTTCCGCCCCAAACCAGAAAAAACCCGAAACCCCAAACCCCAAACCCTGAACCCGAAACCTTACACCCTAAACCCTAGCCCCAAACCCTCAAACCCCAAACCCTAAACCCCAAACCCTAAACCCTAAACCCCAAACCCTAAACCCTAAACCCTAAAACCCTTCCGAGGCCCACGGCTCGTGGAGATGCGCAGCCGCCGCTGCTCGAAGAGCTGTCGGATGCCCCCCATTTTGCCCACGAAGGCCTCCGCGCGGTTTAGGGTTTAGGGTTTAGGGTTTAGGGTTTAGGGTTTAGGGTTTAGGGTTTAGGGCTTAGGGCTTAGGGCTTAGGGTTTAGGGTTTAGGGCTCACTATAGTGCCCTTGTAAGGAAGAACATGTTCCTTTTGGTCTTGTTTCGTTCCCTTACGTTTTGGAGGGGGGGTGGGTTCTTAAGCAAATCGTAGTTTTTAGGGTTGCTTTTTAGCTGGACGAACCACTTGGCAGGAATGCCGAGTCGCACAACGAAACTCAACCCTAAACCCTAACCCTTTTTGCACAGGCTTGTCCCAGCGCGCCTGGAACCCTAAACCCTAAACCCTAAAGCCTAAACCCTAAACCCTAAACCCTAAACCCTAAACCCTAAATCCTAAACCCTAACCTAAACCCTAAACCTCTAAACCCTAGAGACATTCCCACGGCTCACCCCAGTTCTGAGGGCGGCGCGACAACAAGAGTACTCAACTACTTCGAGGTTCATGGGGTTTAGGGTTAAGGGTTTGAGGTTTAGGGTTTAAGGTTTAGGGTTTAGGCTTTAGGGCTACACGCCCCCACGTCTGAGGGCGGTGCCAAGACCCTAAGCCCCGCACCCTAGACCTGTTTTTTGTCCGTCTGAGCTGGGTGGGGAGTGCCAGAAAAAGCAGCAGCATGCACAACCTAAACCCTAAGCCTTAAACTCTAAACCCTAAACCCTAAACCATAAACCCTAAACTCTAAACCCTAAACCCTAAATGGCCTGGAACTTCTGTAGGGAGATCTTCCCCTCCTCCTGTCAGGGAGAAAGGCTTGAACTGGCTCGGAGACCGGAATAGAAGCATGTCGGGTGTGGCGGTTTGTCCGCAGATGAGCTGATTTGCTGCAGTTCAGCTAGACTCATGGCGCTCGTGACGCTTTTAAGCTCACATTGCTCAGTGCCTGCCCCACGCTCGGCGCGAGGGGAAAACTGAAATGTCTTGTAAAATTTGCTCCGAAGGCTCGCACGTGCAGCCCTCTAAGAGTCGGAGTGGTCCAGCACAGCATTTCCTGGGCAAGGACGCGCGCCCCGTGATGGGCTCTTCACGTGGCGTTCTCAGCCTAAACCCTAAACCCTAGACCCTAAACCCTAAACCCTCCAGAAATCTCCTGCTGTGGCCGGGCAAAGCAGTGGCCGCAGACCAGGCATGGACTTGAATTCACAAGTCCAGGGCCGTGGGCGCGGCGGGAGCTTGAGAGGCGGGACACACGCGAAAGCGCAAACCGACGGCTTGCCGTATGGTCAAGCCCCTCAAACTCTAAATCCCTGAGCCCTTAACCCCTAAACCCTACACCCCTTAATTTTGAAACCCTGTCTCAAACCCTACACCCCTAAACCCTGAATCTCTCTCTCTCTCTCTCTCTCGTACTCAGGAAACCTGTCCGACGTGAACCCTTAACCCCTTTTCGCTAAGACCCTAAACCCCAAAACCCTAGACCCTATCCCCGAACCCCAAACTCAAAGCCCTTGCGCTATCCTCACCACCTCGCACAGCCTGGGCAAGGCCCACCTGCGGGATTTTGCGACAGCTCCCGGAGGCTAACTTTAAAAAAGAAACTAGGTTGCCCAGCCCTTCCTTGTTTGCAGGAGGCTAGATCCAAGGGTAAGCTAGGAATCACAGGGTTTAAAGGGGCTTCTAAGGGAACCTAAACCCCTAAACAAAGGGGGAATAAGGGCTCACTCTGGGTGCTATACGAGGTTGTCACAGATCCGAACCCCTGAACAATATGGGGCCGAGGGCGCGACCAGGCATCCTAGAGATAATGGAACTCTGTCGCAGGGCAAGCGAAGGGAGGTTACCTCTCCTCCTGCCTCCTCTGCACGGAGCCTGGCCTGCTGCCAAGTAAACATTCCGCCTCCGGGAGCACGGTCAGTAGGCCTGCTCCTTGGCGGGAGGCGCTCGAGGCCGTTGGGCAACCCTGAACCCTAAACCCTAAACCCTAAACCCTTTTGAGCCTCCAAGTCCCGAAACCCAGGGCTTTGCAGGAGGTGCCTGCAAAGAGAGCCAAGAGCCCCAAAAGATTCCAAGCCACCCTCGCACCGGCTGAGATTGGGGCTGCCTACACCACGCAAGCCCAGAGTCGGAAACGCCAACCCGATTGCTTGGGTAGTTCTCTAAATTGGGGTCCCCTTTTAGGGGTCCTTTGAGTAAGGTGCCATGCTATATGTAGGACCCCAAAAAGGGACCCTAACTTAGAGAACTGCCCACTTACTGCCTTGCCATGGAGC